AGTTCTGATTTAGCCCAAACCAGGACAAGTTATGTAAATTAAATGAAGCAAAACCTTTGGTGAGGAGAAATAGATAACATGGAACTATTCATAAAGTATGAATTTATACAATGGTTAGGATTGATGTTTGATTTCCGAAGTTTAAAAAAGAGCAAAAGATTAAACAGATTTGTATAACTATTATAAATATTTGTCCAATATACTTCTATGTTTACTGTGTGTGAAGTATTTAGGAATGATGATGCCAAGTCTTCCGTAGTCTTTCACTTTAATTTTACAAGCTTACAACCATTCAGCCAAATTTTCTTTCTTAGGCTGAATTTTTCTAGGGCACCTGGTCAAAAATTGTTCAATGTATTCAGAAAACACTGCTTACATAAACTGAGAATATCTGAAAAGAAGACTGACCTTTTCAAATAGGTCAACTTAATGTTTGAATGCTGTAAGGTGTTTAAATGTACAGTGAAAATGGACTTACAAGATATTCTAGAGAGAAAGAAAACGCAAACAAAAAATGCATGGATAAGGAGATGGTGTACATGAGTCTCTTGACAGATTCACAGAAGCTAGAAAAGCCTTGAGACAAAGTTATGACCCTCCTGTAGGACAAACACTGCAGTGGAATAGATTCCTGGGTTACTGAGATATTAAAACTTCTTTGCAGACCATCGCACAACTCTGTCCAGTGATGTTCCTACACAGGAAACATTATTGGCTGTTATTAACCTTTTAAAACGGTTCTTCATACCAGTTTAGTGAAGACAGGGTTGTAATGCCAGTGTGGATTCCCTGATAATGTCTGGCAATGTTACTGTGCAATTCTGCTCCAGGAATGAACACTTGTAGCACGAGTTAGTCAATGTTTTGATTCTGAGTGAAAAGGTTATGAAGGCAATAAAGACCATGGGGGAAAAGTGTTGAATTTTCACGCTTGACTAAGCGCCGATATGAAGGGCTGTGATTTTGCTTGCGTTTATAAGCCTATTTTCATTTCAGAGGGTTTTGATACATGTAACTGGGAGTGGAGTTTGACTAAATTATCATTTTAAGAATTATGCTGCGTCAGTGATCTGACAACACACTGGAAAGGTTAAATTGAGTGCAGATCGTTTAGCTTTAGTATGATGATTAATATCAAGTCATAGAAGCTAAGAAGACTAGTTTCAATTATTTACAGAAAATGCCCACAAGTCTCATGGGAACTCTACAAAGTAAAATAAAACCAGTTGACTGTGATTTTGCTCCCAAATGAACTAATCAGGTGATTGTGACCTTGAGACAGGGTCTCTCCTCCAGCTCTCCCTCCCCTCTCCTATGTACAGAACTGACATGCTCATCTATCTGCTTGAGAAATCCTTGATGCAGTTCATATTTAACATCATTATCAAAGGTCCTTTGCTTCCAGGCTTAGCCATTAAAATAGATGAGGTGGGAAATGCTGACATGATAGTTTTGCAAATGTTATCTGAGAGGTTTACATATATTATTAAACTCTTAATGAAGATGATGAAGAATTAGCCTATTAACAGCTCAGAATTAGGTATATGGCTGCATTAATTCTTTTTCCTCTTTTCTTTGATATTTCAGTGCTACGGCTATTGAAGGATGGTGCTGACCCTCATACGCTTGTTTCCTCAGGAGGCTCCTTGCTCCATCTGGTAAGAGTGATTGAAGATTAGTGTTAGTGACTGTGGATAAATATGGAGGGATACTGAGTAGCAGATTGGGCATATTAACGAAAAAAAAGGGTTAGCAATAATTTTTTATCACCGCTGCCCTGCATGGTGTTTATGATTGCATCCAGCTATGCATGTGAAACAAATGGTCATTTTCAAATTACTTACAAAAGGATGGATCATGTCATAGGAATGATAACTAACAAAGTAGAATGAAATGTTTTATTTATGAATTATCTGTACAGTAAGAAAGAACAAAGGAAGTACTGCTTGATTCCGAAGATAGAATTATACGGTTCAGAGATTCACAGATCCTATATGAAAAATACCATGATGTAACATCTTTCCTTTTGTTTTTGTGCATATTTTCTTACACCAGTTTCTTATATGTTGATAATTAACACATTATCTGCATTTAGTTTATCATTATTTGCATAACAATTTAGATTAAATAGCTGGAAGATAAAAGGAAAACAGTTTGTATACAATGACCAAAAGAGAAGCAAGATGTAAGGGCATGTGGAGGAAGGACTGACAGGCAGGCAGAAAGGAAATACTGCAGAGCCAATGGGAAAATGCCTCCTAAATTCCTAAGTCTTGTGATTCTTTACTTTGATCTGTGATACTTCAATTGGAGATACTTTCTATTCAATGTGAAATTATTTTAAGATTTTTAGATCCAACTTTTTTGCACAGTGCTGCTAAAATAAATGCGACTTCACAAATACAAGGGTGTACCAGATCTAGTGAAAAGTCTGCTGGAAGTATGTTTCATTTTAGAACAGTTGGATTAAGTTTCTCATAGTATTTACACAAAATGGAGCCATTTATTGATGAAAAAAAAAGGATCCTGTGATATTCATGGACTCCAGCACACTCATGACCATGCTTTTGCAAGATGTAGTGTTTCCCTTGAGTAATTAATCTGTGTTTTCCTCTTCCATGGCCATGCTGCTTACCAAGGAGCATTCCCAAAACTGAATCATTCCAAATCTAATCCTGTGTGAAAGCCCTAGGAGACAATCAGTGTGGCTGATGTGACATCTGTCTCACCGGCATTTTAAAATTGAAAAAAAAGAAAGATCCATCTTACGGATTTTAGGTTGCTTTATCTAGTTCAGCTAATACACACCTTTTAACTTCAGTTGAACTGTGTCTTTTTATGTTTCTTGATCTTCTGCATTATGCCTCAATTCACTGTCACATTCAGTATCTCTCCACTGGTACCTGCTGCTTCACAGGCACACATGCTTCCAAAGGAGGGAAAACTTACTGTGGTAAGAAATTTGCAGTAGAGAACTGTCTGCAACTTACTGCCTCAGTTTAGTCAGAATTGCTTCTAAGTACTCATAATTCATCTACAGGAAAAAGCTGGTCCTATTGGAGATAGGGGCAAAACTGATTTCAATGCAACTTGAACTTGACCCCTATTTGGGAACGGTACAGATAGGAGAGGAGAGTCATGATACAGGGAAACAGATAAGCCAAGTTTATTTTCCTGCAAAAACTCAAAATAGTAATTTAAAAAATATTTTTAAAGCCCACTCAGATCCATTCTATCTACTAGTTTTACCACTGTAATTCTATGTAAGCTGCCTCTCCAAATGGGAGCCTGATCAGTGTTTATTCTTTCCAGTTGTAGGGTAAATGTTTTTATTCCAGATTGAATGGTAAATATATTTATCTTCACACACATTTTACTTAAAATCTGATTAATGATATAATTCCTTTTTCTTTTTTTGTTAACTTCCAAAATGTGATATATTTCTAATAAAAAATCAAATGTGACGCTCCATGAAGTTTCTGTTGCTATCTCTGTAGACAGTATCCCAATATGCTTGAATCTCAGGGAAGCCATGGGAGCTTCCAAGGCATTCATTGAAGTCTCCTTAGACTCCAGAAGAGGAGAAGTACCAAAAAAGAGACTACTTGCTTGAGTTGCCCATTCAGTGGGAAGCACATAGTGTCACATGAATTTGCACAGGCAATCACCCAACCCACCCTAGTTAAAAAGTACAGGAGTGCCAATTTTCTCCTGCAACTTTGACTGAGAGTGCTCAATTGCTTTGCAAAAACAGCAAGAAGCAAGAATCAGCAGCAATTAAATTGCTGCTACAAATCTAGGCTGTTTTCAAACTGATAACTGATTGCAGAAGGCTCTGTATCTATTATTAATGCACAAAATGGCTCAATGGCATCTGTCACTTGCTTTGTATGAAAGCTGTTTAGAATTTTTTTTACTTAACAATGACGTGAAAATGTGATTGGTATGAGATTATGTTGATCTGTGTTATTAAATTCTTTCTGATTTGTTAAAATTTGAACATCGAACAGGTCAATGTAAGTTATACTGCTGGTACAATGAACGATATTGATATGACAAAACTTCTAGCTGTTTCTAGTGCTGTCAGATAAGTTACAAGCTAAAGGAAATACATCAGAACTTAATTTCTGTTCTAGAATTTAATGGTCAGTATGTTTGGAAATCATTTAAAGCAGGACTGCTTTTTAGCCTCGTAGAGTTTAATTTTCATCTTCCCAGTTATCTATATTTATGATCGCAGTTGTACATGCAGGTCCTACATTCAGTTGAATATCTCAGCTATATCTTGACTTCACAGTGGAATGCAGATAAGCACTTTTCCTTCTTCCCCTTTCCTTTCAGTGTCCTGGCTTCCATGCCAAACTAATACAGATTAGAAAATTGGATGCCATGGTGTTGTTCCACACGTGATACAGACATAGCAAGATAATTATTTAGCTCTCACTTGCAAGTCATTTGCAGACTTCATTGCATTGGTACTCTCAGTGTACGTGTGTGCTTTTTGGGACCTTCCACAGCTTTAAATATTGGAAGAGGCATAGATATTAAGGATTATATTCAAAGCATCTAAGCATCTGACACAGAAAATTAGCCTCACTGTAGCCTCTCTCCAGTGGCAAAGGAGAGAGGATCCTTCTCTAAAGAGTTACTGGGATTATATATTAGGCCAGATTTAGGATCATAACTTAGATTGTCTGATTGTCTTTTAAAGTGTTATCCATAAGCACATCCATAAAAAGTCACAGATGTGACAGAGGAGTAAGCCCAAAACAGTGGCCGCCTTCTCTGACAAAATTAGTGACCCCTCTCATCAAACAAAACAAAATATACAAACACACATATGTGCAACACCTCCCCACCCCCCAGCCCCCAACACACCTTTAGTGTGCGGAGTATTTATCTGTCAGAGAGACTTGAATAGGAATCAGTATAGTTAGTGGGTTGGAAACGGGAGTGGGTATGGAGAGGTGTGTGTTATTGCTATGAACTGCACAAAAGGCAGAAGTTCATGTACGTGTGGACATATGTGTGGGTGTACATATACTGAGTCACCACTACTCATGATGTGATCATCATGCACTGATGCCTGTGCACTGATTTGGAATGACAATACTGAACAGAAAGAAAACCCCTCATCTTTACTGTAGATTTCAGCAGACATCATACTGTGCTTTTTCACAGTCAGTAAAGGATTCTGTGGATCATGCACATGGAACTTGTAGTCTCTACAAAGGTATTTCTATAGATTCATCAGCTGTTGTCCCTCACAAACACATCAGTGTAACTACAGTGTGTCATCTGCTCCATTTAAATGATAAACGCAGCAAAAATTGTGTGTAATAAATTCAGTTGTACACTGAGTGAAATACCATCCCTAATCTGCTCTTCTCTCTTCTAGTGTGCCCGCTATGATAATGCCTTTGCTGCAGAAATCCTAATTGACAGAGGAGTAAATGTTAATCATCAAGATGAGGATTTTTGGACATCAATGCATGTAGCCTGTGCATGTGATAATCCTGATATTGTCCTGCTACTGCTACTAGTAAGTAAAGCAATCCGGTGCATTGTGTGCTTGAAAAGGAAACAGAATATGACACCACAAGGTCTGAAACTACTGTATGAATGCAATATATTACTACTAATCGTATCAGTGAAAGCATATATTGTGTTTATTTTTTTCTTGATGTTTTGGTGCTCAGGATTTTTAGAAGGCATATAGTGAGGCATTTGTAGATCTTCAATAAGAATACAGTATAAACAGCAATGTCAAGTCTGTTCTATCTCTTCCCGGTGGTCAGGAGCTTATATCTGTGGTAAGCACTCAGTCCCAAATGGGATATTCAGATAATTTCTTTTCTCTTCTCCTTGTCACTTTCTGTTAAGGGTTGAATTCACAGACAGACTTATAAAAAACTCCTTCTTAAGAGCAAGTATTCACTCCATTGTACTCAGTATTCATAAAGAAGTGTTTATGGACATGGTCAAAATGAGGCCAATTTAATATTTAACTAAACATCTTTGACTTTTTGAAGCAGAGTTCACCCAATATAGTAATAGATACAGCATTCAGCCTTTGTAGAGAATAGCTTTGTTCATATTGTGCTTCCATTCCTAGGATCACAGCCTCTAGTTTTACACCAGAATATTAATGTAGCTCTTTCTCCCAGCTAATTTCATATCGCTCTTTAAAACTGTAGTACAGAAACAGTTTGCAGTCTGACTTACAGTTTTTTAGTCTATTTGTGTAATTTTAAAATTTGTATGTTTTTAATAGGTTGTTGCGAGTAGATCAGCATTTTTTAGCTTACTTATAACAGTATTTCAATGTTACAGGTAAAATGAAGGGAGAAATATTTTAAAGACTATGTACCTGATAATAGCGTCCATGAAATCATTTTGGGAGATTGTTTAGTCCGATCCCTCTGCTAAGAGCAGAGCCAGCTGCAGCAGCTTGCCCAGGACCGTATCTCCAAGGATGGAAAGTCCACAAGCTCGCTGGGCAATCTGCACAGAATAAAAGGGGTTTTATTAGGTTTAAACAAAATCTCCTGTGTTTCAGTTTGTGCCTATTGTCTTTTGTCCTTTCACTGAGCACCACTGAGAAGAGCCTAGCTCCATCTCTACTCCCTTCATCAGGTATTTACAGACATTTTTAAGACCTGCCTGAGCCTCCTCAAGACTGAAGAGTCCCAGCTACCCCAACATCTCCTTGTATGACAGATGCTCTATCTAGTCCCTTCATCATCTTTGTAGCTCCTTTGCAGGACTCACTGCAGTACATCCATGTCTGTCTTCTACTGAGGAGCCTGCAACTAGTGCCTCACCAGTGGTGGGCTCTCACCAGTGCCCAGGCCTGCAGGCAATGCAGTCCAAGAAATCTATGGCCTTCTTTGCTGCAAGGGCACATTGTTGGCTCATGCTCAACTTGTTGTCCTCCAAGTCCTAGTCCCAGAAGTATTTTGTGTGGGAAGGTGTCTAGGTAGACAGTAGGAAATACTAAAAAAAAGAACATAGCCTAAATTTTGTCCTTCAAAATAGTCATCTTGTAGGGAAAGGGAAAGTCCTGCCTCTGCTTGAAGGTAATAGCTGGGAACACTGTTCTGGATCTGTATACCTACACTAGGTCAGTGATGGGAAGGGGAGCTTTTAACAAATGTGATACTGATTAGAGCTCCCTTGGGCTTTTGAGGACTTGAGTCCAAATGTCTCCTAGAGAAAAGTCAGATCAATGTCTGTCTTCTCCCAGAAGGATGTTTCACTAGACCGTTAGACAGATTTCATATTGCGGTTATTTTCTTAAGAATGCTTTGGTGCTTACTTGCTAATGCTAAAGCATAATCAGCAGGTTAAGTAGCATCAAGAGAGATTAATGTGATAGTTTACACCTTAGACCTGTTGTTTCAGGCTTTCTTGATTACATGTGAACTCTTTCTGAAATACACAGATATGCTCCCTTCTAGCAAATATGCTTCATTTTATAGAAAACAGGGTAACTAATTTCCTATATTACATTAGAAAATAAATGAAAAATGAAATCACACAGAATCGTAGAACGTTAGGAGTTGGAAGGGACCTCGAAAGATCATCTAGTCCAACCCTCCTGCCAGAGCAGGACCACCTAGAGTATCTTTTATTCAGTTCAGAATTAGTGATACCTTCCTTCTCTTCATCTCAGTTTTGAATTCCTATGTTTCAACCCTTATTTGAAATCAGAGGAGGTAACTCTTGAAGGTTTTCTTGTATAAACTCTAATTCCATTGCACCAAATTGAAAAGAAGTTCTGAGTGGAGAGCTTTTTTTTCCAAAAATGCTGAGTCCTTCATAACCATGTGTTGTGCTTTTGAATTGCCATGACAACTTTAATGAAACAAAAGGGGGTTTGGTTGTTGTTTTGTGTTTTTTAAATAACATAAAACTCATTGTATTTAGAATCTCGTAAGTCAAAGCCATCATGTTGAATTATACTTCTTGAAATATATGAGTGTGCTGTATCCAATTAGAGTGGCACCAGAAGCGAATAGTCTTCAGTAGTAGAGGGCATAATCTTCTTTTCTTCAGTGTAATGAGTTATAGTAGTATGATTTTGAGTCAACGACTATGCTAACTATAATGTAATGCCATGTACCTGAAGGAATTACTGTAGCTACTCTCTGACCTTCTGTAAATGGCATGCGCTTCACCAAAACCTTTGTGTGGAACCTGGAACTACTCTTGCTCTGCCCTGTCATTGCTTCTTCCAGTCTGTAACTTTGGTTTTAACATTAATCTGTACGAGAACTGCTCTGTTAATCTCAGGATTCTGATGGCCTCTGAGGCTACATCTGCTCTGGAAAACCAGAAAGAGGTGTCCTGGAGTCTTCCTGGATGCTGGACTGCAATCGTCTGTACTAGTAAACTCTGATGTGTCTTTTGCATGTGCCATTTAGATTCCTTCCAGACAATTCCCTGGCATGGTTTTGAAGCTGGAAAGTCTCAGGAACCAGTCTGTATCCAGCTGTCACACTGCAGAAGTTAAGTCTTTACTGGACTAAACAAGGACTCTTCCACGCCAGCTGGCTTCAATGCCTAGGGTTTTCCCAGGTCAATTTGATGTAATACTAGAGATAAAGCCTTTGTCATGCTTGGAATGTCTGTTTTCTCAGCTTTTCTATTACAAGTCTAATTAGGTCCAGTAAATGTACAATGCAACGTGTGTAAATCTAATTTGCCGTTCTTAGTGCGTGAAATAGTACTGCTTACCTAACCACAGTTGTCAGATGTGTTCGGTAGGAGTATCCCATTCTAGACATTGTCACTACTCTTGGCAAACAAAGGATAAAACTTCCAGAAGGTAATATTTTCTCTCTTGTATTATCATGAACTGTTCAATGTATATATTTTTGCAGCCTGTGTATCCTTTGTATTCTGCAAGTACTCCTAAACTGATGAACAAATTAGAACAGAGAAGTTCACCTACAGAAACTCTTGTATTGTGGGAATCTCTTGTAATGTGGGGAATTTCCAGAAATACTGAATGCTGTGCCGTTGTTGACATTAATTGTAACAGATGGGGTTGAGCAGGGCACTTGTAAAATTTTCCGTGCCCATTTTTGTAAGAAGCCAAATGTAATAAAAACTCATGAAGTATTTCTACCCAGGGTTATATACAAAAAATATTTTTCAGCCCTCATCATTTGAATGTTGCTTGATTTAGTCCTTGTTTATTACAAGCTGTCTTCTTCTGAAGGTTCTAACTATCTTCTGATAACTTGGGATAAAAAGGTAATCTGATATATTAAAATTTCAGTAAGCAGGGGTCCATCCGTAAGGATTTTTACAGATAGTGTTTGAATTGTCTATATTATTTGCAATAACTTTTGATAAGTTTGGCCACATTTTAGGCAGTCAGCACTTTTTAAGGCAGAATGTCCTTGACTACATAAACAATAACTTTATGCTTTCCCTTCTGAAGTGGCAATAATAAACAAAGTATTGTGGCAGAGAAAGGGAAATATTCTTAGGTAAGCAATAGTTTTTGAACCTTGACGTTAATGCTGCCTTTAATAACATTTGACAAAGTGAAGATGGAAATGGACCTTGGAGTGTAGTATTTTTCACAACTCTGAACTGCCTTTGTGTGAGCATTTGATACTAGGAATTACTTTGCCTTGAGGTTAGAGTGTTTCATGGTCCATGTCTAATGTGTAGCATGAGCCTGGATAATGCTAATAAGAGCTACAGGCAGCTTCTATTATGCCCCTATTTTTAGTTGGAAGAGAAAATAACACTTTGTGTACCCTTTTAGATTTATATTAGAATTACTTTTAGACAAATATTTCTTCTGGATTGACTTTACAAAATAGACAACGCCATATTATCTGTTTTGAAAATGTGAGCTAAAAGATAACAGCATGTTCCTTTAATTGAAACCTGTGCAAATTCTGATTCCTAGAAGACTGTCATAGATGACAGTGGAAGTTTCCTCAGTAAGGACTTAAAAATGTTTCCTGAAGGGAAAGCAGAAAAAAAAAAAAGGAATGTAGAATATATGTAGATCCCAGAAGGCTATTAATGAAGACTTAATTAGGCATGCCCAGTTTCTGATTTTATCCCACTTTTGGTGGTCTTCACGTTTCTCTGGCTGAGACGAGATAGCTTAGCTGTGGTAACTCACTATTTCTGTCCTCTGGTAGATAGCAAAGACAAAAGTAAAGCTCGTTAGCACTGAGAGCTAGGAGGGACTGTAGCTGTTTGTAATGTGATAATCTGCTATCATGTCCTGTTAGAAGACTATTGGAATTGTAGGCACTGTTTTGGAATAAATGCAGAATGAAATGCTTGAAGCTATTTCTTTCCATCCCAACATTTTACCCAAGGTGTGGTATAGCTTTCCAGGGACATATTTATGTATTCTCCATTTTGTAGCTGTCAGCAAGGGCGGGGGGCGTTGGACGGTACAGCCAGAAAATATATCCCGTGTCTGCTAAATACTCAGCCAATGAAGAACTTGCCCCCGAGGCAGCTGCTAGCACATGAGGAAATGCAGAGATCAAAGGTAATCCA